TCCCTTCCATCTGGTGAACTTTGCTCCATGAAACCTTCTAAGACTTCTTCCTGGTTTTTGGGAAAACCCCTTTGTGTCCCATCTCCTCACCCATACATCAAAGATGACAGCTTAGTGAACTCAGATCTGTTTTCCCTAGATTGTGATCCAATTTTGTCTTAGTACTGTAGCTTCCAGCACAGAGAAGCAATGAGTGAATGTTTGTTGAATGAATCAGTTGGCAAATGTCAATGAATATATTTATATGTGAAGGGATCTCCCTCTTCCCCAGGTGTACCTGGCCTTGGGCCTGACAGAGTCAGAAATCAATGAATACTTCACTGGTCCTGCCTTCCTGGCCTGGGGGCGCATGGGCAATCTGCACACCTGGGGTGGCCCCCTGTCCCGCTTCTGGCACCTCAAGCAGATTTATTTACAGGTAAAAGAATGGGAAAGGGGGCTGGGGACATAGCTCAGTTGGTAGAGTGCTTGACTTGCATGTAGCAGGCCCTAGGTTCAATCCCCAGCACCACCAAAAAAAAAAAGAATGGGAAATGGAAGGGGTAGAATTGGTGCTGAGGTCACAGACCTAGGGAGGGTGTGGTTTTTGACCAGACTCAGGGCTCTTGACCAGATCACAGTGACTGTGTCCTGAGTGAGTAAGGGACCCCCATGGGGCTGCAGAGGTCATGCTCACCAGCCCCCCTCCTGTTTCTCCCAGCATCGGATCCTGGACCGGATGCGCTCGTTTGGCATGATCCCCGTGTTACCTGCATTCGCAGGGCACATCCCCAAGGCTCTCACCAGGTGAGGCTTTCCCTTCTCCCTGTGCAGCTCAACAATGGAGTTTTTTCTTCTGTTAAAACATGACTTAAATACTGAAGCTATGGATGCAGGCCTGGGTTTGATTCCTGCCTCTGCTACCAACGAACTGTGTGACCTTGGATGGATTACCATGACTCCCCTGTGCCTTATTTTTATCACTTGTAAATGGGATCCTTACCACCTTTACCATCAGGGTTTGGGTGTGAATATGACCTGGCAGAGTGTTTGCTAGCAGCTGCTCTAATTAGTGGTAGTAGGGGATACACTGGTCTCTTTTCCTCTTCTCTGTACTATACACTCCTCTCCTGTGGCTAGAAAAGTCTTCAAGGCCGAACTGAAACATCCCCTCATTCAGGAAGCCTTGCCAACACCCCCAGGGGCCTCCTTCGTGCCCACAAACACCTGGTTCCCACCACTCACACTGCTAGCCTCCCTTGCACTGTGAGTGATAGCAGGAACCTCATTCCTTTTGTGATGTTTGTCCAGCTGTGCAGGTCTGCCAGATACTGCTGTCTGCTGGGCCCTAGGGATGCAGTGGTGAAGGTGCCCCGGGCACTGTCTCTGAGGAGAGATAAGCTAGCAGAGGGATATGACCCAGTGATAAGGGCAGGAATGTACACTGGCTCTTGTGGAAGAGGGCCAGAAAGGGCTCAGGGCAGAAGCAGTACTGAGCCTTATCTTGAACAAGGAATGTGTTTAAAATTTCAGCCAGTGGAGGTGGAGGGATAGCAAAAGCTTTCCAGACAGGTAAAACTTAAAGGATAGTGGGGAAGAACCAAGAGGATAAGCAAGGAGGGAAGAGGAAAAGATGCCCAGGCAGGGGGCAGTGTGTGTGAAGAAGCACAAGAAACCAAGATGCACTCCAGGAACTAGAGATAAATTAGACTGGTAAGGAAGGAATTATGGGCCAAGAGGAATGCTATGTCAGCCTCCAGTAATTCTCTGAGCTTTTGCTCTCCACTAGGGTGTTCCCACAGATGAATGTCACCCGATTGAGCAGTTGGGGACATTTCAACTGCTCCTACTCCTGCCCCTACCTTCTGGCTCCAGAAGACCCCATGTTCCCCCTTATTGGGAGCCTCTTCCTATGGGAGCTGAGCAAAGAGTTTGGTACCAACCACATCTACGGGGCTGACACTTTCAATGAGATGCAACCTCCCTCTTCACAGCCCTCCTACCTTGCTGCAATCACCACTGCTGTCTATGAGGCCATGATCGCAGGTACGGTGCCCTGGGGAGGTGGGCAAGGGAAGCCCCCTGGACCTTCAGGTAGATGGGGATGGCAGAGGTCAGTAGGGATGGGAGGAGAGACTGGGGCTACCCCTCACTGTAATACACAGCCCTTTACAGTTTCCCAGGCACACATGCCATCTCATTTAATCCCATTGTGGTTGAGAGATGAGCTCTGGAGCCAGATAACTAGGACGCAAACCCTGACACTAATAGTCCCTGGTAACTTACAAGTTACCTCATTCCCAGTGTCTCAGTTGTTTCATCTGTACAATGGGACTAATTCATAGGTACATGATGCCTGGCCTGTAAAGAATCACTGAGTGCTAACTACTGAAAAGATTTGATTTGATCTCTCCCTCATTGCTAAAGCAGGTAATGCAGGCCAGAGTTGGGGCTTATACCCCAAACTAGTAGGTATCCATCTTGCTTCACAAATGTGAACCCCAGGCTCCTTCCTGCCACTTGTAAGGATGGGTAGAAGGGGCCCAAGGCAGGAATGGCTTAATGGAGGTCTACATGTTAGCCAGGAAGGGAGCAGGTTGGCTCAGTCTTCCTTGAACAGAGCTGCTGCAAGTGTAGTCTAGAACCAGTGGCATGAGCCCCATCCTGGAGCCTATCTTATTGGTCCACTTTTAGTTACTGCAATGAAATCCCAAAGGCTTACTCCCAAATCCTCATCTGCAGACACCATAATGGGATTAAGTTTGCACCTTCTTAATACCTTGTAATGGGGATAAAATTTTAAACACATGAACCCTTGGGAGTTATACTCAAAACATATCCAAACCATAGCACTATCAGATATGCACATTTAAAAACAATTTTTTTTTTTTTAGTTGTAGATGGACATAGTACCCTTATCTTATGTTTATGTGGTGCCAGGGATCAAACCCAATGCCTCACACGTGTTAGGCAAGCGCTCTACCCCTGAGCCACAACTTCAGCCCAGATACCCACATTTTTTTTAATACCTTTTATTTTATTTGTTTTTATGTGGTGCTGAGGATCAAACCAGGGCCTTGCATGTGCTAGGAGAGTGCTCTGCTGCTGAGCCCCAGCCCCAGCCCCAGATATACACATTTTTAGGGCCCAACCCAGAACTTCTGAATCAAGGCTCAGAAGCTGGGGCCCAGGAGTCCATGTCTTAACATCTCAATTTTAATGCCTGTGAAGCAAGACGTCACTATCCTGGAGTTCCCAGTTAGGGGGGAGGTAGGATGAGGAAGGAAATATGTAGTGGTGTGTCCCCATATATGTCCCCATGGGGCAGCCAGAGGGGGAAGGTGTCCCCTGTGACAGGGTCATTTGCCTTCTCTGGACCTCCATTTTCATCATTTGTAGAATGGGCTCAGCACTCCCCTGGCCTTCTCCTCTTATCACCCCTCTTGTCTGTCCTTCCCACTCTCACCACTGCAGCGGATCCTGATGCCGTGTGGCTGCTCCAAGGCTGGCTTTTCCAGCACCAGCCTAAGTTCTGGGGGCCTGACCAGGTCAAGGCTGTGCTGAGGGCTGTGCCCCTGGGCCGTCTCCTGGTTCTGGACCTGTTTGCCGAGAACCAGCCTGTGTATAGCCGCACAGACTCCTTCTATGGCCAGCCCTTCATCTGGTGCATGCTGCATAATTTCGGGGGCAACCATGGCCTATTTGGATCCCTGGAGGCTGTGAACCAAGGCCCTCAGGCTGCACGCCTCTACCCCAATTCCACCATGGTAGGCACTGGCATAGCTCCTGAGGGCATTGGCCAGAATGAAGTGGTCTATACCCTCATGACTGAGCTGGGCTGGCGAAAGGACCCAGTACCAGATTTGGTGGCGTGGGTGACCAGCTTTGCTGACCGGCGGTATGGGTTGTCTCAGGAAGATGCAAAGGAAGCCTGGAAGCTACTGCTCAGAAGTGTCTACAACTGCTCTGGTAAGGCCTGTGTTGGGCACAATCGCAGCCCACTGGTCAAGCGGCCTTCCCTAAAGATAAATACCACTGTCTGGTACAACCGATCGGATGTGTTTGAGGCCTGGCGGCTATTGTTGAAAGCAGCACCCAACCTAACCACCAGCTTGGCCTTCCGCTATGACTTGGTGGACATCACCCGCCAGGCAATCCAAGAGATGGTCAGCTTGTACTATGAGGAGGTGAAGATCTCCTACAGGAAGAAGGACCTGATTCTCCTACTGCAGGCTGGAGGCATCCTAGCTTATGAACTTCTGCCTGTACTGGATGAGGTGCTAGCTACTGACAAACGCTTCTTGCTGGGCAGTTGGCTGGAGCAGGCCCGGGCAATGGCAGTCAATGAGACTGAGGCCCAATTCTATGAGCAGAATAGCCTCTATCAGTTGACCTTGTGGGGTCCAGAGGGCAACATCCTAGATTACGCTAACAAACAATTGGCGGGACTGGTAGAAGATTACTATGCTCCACGTTGGCGCCTCTTCCTGGAGACACTGGCAGGCAGCTTGGCTCAGAGTGTTCCTTTTAAACAGAAGGAGTTTGACAAAAATGTCTTCCAGCTGGAGAAGTCCTTTGTTCTGAGCAAAAAGAGATATTCCAGTCAGCCTCAAGGTGATACTGTGGACCTAACCAAGAAGGTCTTCCTCAAATATTACCCCAGGGTGGTGAATGGCTCTTTGTGACAGACTGACCATCCCTGGGGCCCAGTTCTTCCCAAACTCCAGGCTGGGACAGGTTCTAGAGCCTGGAGCTAGATAGTGTCACAAGATAGCCCCAGCCATTGGAGGAGTCAAGGCCTGCTGTGAGGGCAGGTATGGGTAGCTTGGAGGGAAGTGAACTGCCCTTTACCATCATCCGTAAATTGGGATTAAAGTGCTGTTTTCTGTCAATATAATAAACTCATGAATCAGCCTGGGTCTGTCAGAATGAAAAAGTCACTGCCAAGATGTCTGGGCTACAGCATGGACCCTGGTGTGGGGCCAGTTCTCCCCACCTCCCTTTTGCCTCCTATGCTTAATACTAACCCCCCGCCTTTTTTCCTGAAATGCCCCCCCCCCCCCCAAGCATTTACTTTTACAGCAAAGCAGCAAACTTTGGTAACGAAAATTGTCCCTTAGGACACAGACATATCCAGGAAGTCTACCCATGGTGCTGCTCAGTGCCCTCCTGCTTGCCCTCCCTCTGACCAGCAACTAGGGAAATTTGGTGTTAAATCAGTGGCCTTTTCTCTGCTTTGATCCAGAGCAGGGTGGGGAGAGCCGGTCAGGGGAGTTCTCAGCCTTGAGATTGCCTCTGAGACACAACAAGGGGTGGGGGCACTGCAGGCAGGGGCGGGGTGAAGCAGGTGATATCCAGCCCAGAGACCTGCGCCTAGGACTCTGCTGCTCCTGACCTGCTACTCCTGAGCTGCTTCTCAAGAATCTCCCCATGGATCGCACCGTGGTGCTCATCACTGGCTGCTCCTCCGGCATCGGCCTGCACCTGGCCCTTCGGCTGGCTTCGGACCCGTCTAGGAGCTTTAAAGGTATAAGAGGGGCCAGCATGGATAGATTTCCCCTAGAGGTAAGCAGGGCATTCAAATCTTCATCCTCTCCCAAACCTTCAGTGTATGCCACGTTGAGGGACCTGAGGGCTCAAGGCCAGCTGTGGAAGGCAGCCCGGGCCCGGGGATGCCCTTCCGACTCGCTAGAGACGCTGGAATTGGACGTGAGGGACTCAGATTCTGTGGCTGCTGCCCGGGCACGCGTGACCGAGGGCCGTGTGGATGTGCTGGGTGAGCCTCCCCCCGCGAAATGTGTACAAGAGCCATCCTTGTCCAGAGCCCAAATCAGAATGCCCCAAGCACAGGGAACCCCAGGGGATAGTCTGGGGCTGTCACTGGTCGGTCGCATAGGGCAGGTCTCTCTTCTTACAGTGTGCAACGCGGGACGGGGTCTTCTTGGACCCCTAGAGGCCCACGGGCTGGGCGCCGTGGGCTCGGTGCTGGACGTGAATGTGGTTGGGACGGTGCGAACACTGCAGGCCTTCTTGCCGGACATGAAGCGGCGCCGCTCAGGCCGCATATTGGTGACCGGGAGCGTGGGAGGCCTGATGGGTGAGTAGAAGGGGCGGGGCCTCCCCAGGCCGCTCCCCGCCTGGACGCAGATCTGAGCTGCAGAACTCAGCGACCTCACCTCTCTTCCAAGGGCTTCCCTTCAACGCAGTGTACTGCGCCAGCAAGTTCGCGCTTGAGGGTTTGTGCGAGAGTCTGGCGGTTCTGCTGCTGCCCTTTGGAGTCCAGTAAGTCACCTGAAACTTCTGAACCCTTGGAAACCCAAGCCCGGGATTTTTGTTGGGGTCGCTCTCCAGTGGGTCCCTGGCCCTCCTTCCCAGACTCCGATGGTTGTGTGGCGGGCACTGTGCTGGGCCTTTGACATACATGATCTCATTCACTTGCCGACTAAGGTGTCGGTATTGTGATGGGAAAGCATAGGTCCACAGAGGTCACACCGTTCTAGTTACCCACCCAGACTAAAGTCTCCCTCGAAGCCTCAGGTGGACACGGGAGCACTTCTCCGGTAGTCAGCCGCTTCGCAAACATTTCGGTTATGCAAAGCAGCCTGCGCGCGCAGCGGCTTTCCTCTCCGCGGACCCAGGCCAGCCCTGATGTCCGCTTCCGCCAACTCGCCGCTCTTGTCCGCAGCGTGAGCCTCATCGAGTGCGGTCCAGTGCACACCGCCTTCTATGAAAAGTTAGAGGGCGGCCCGGGAGGGGCGCTGAACCACACAGATGCCCAGACCCGCCACCTCTTCTCACTCTACCAGCGCCACTGCGAGCAGATCATCCGTGAGGCGCAGGACCCAGAGGAGGTGACAGAGGTGAGTGCTCTCAGGGACTCGAGGGAGGCACACCATGATCCAAGCCCACGCTTCTATTCCGGCCCCGCAGGTCTTCCTCACTGCGCTGCGTGCCCCAAAGCCATCCCTGCGCTACTACAGCACGGAGCGCTTCCTGCCCCTGTCCCGGCTGCGCCTCGAGGACCCCAGTGGCTGCAGCTACGTGACCGCCATGCACCGTGCTGTGTTCGCAGACCAGCCCGCCGAGGCAGCTGGGACCAGAGAACCGGAGGACCCTGAGCTCGTTGCGTCTCCTGCAGCCCCGAAATAAAGGCTTTGTCTGCTACTGTCTCCTCGCGCCCTTCTTTGCCTCACAGGATGTGCAGGGGATAGCGCAGGGGTGGCGGCTGCATTGCGCTGGTGCGCAGCAGGTGAATGATCAGGACAATTCTCGGAGCCCCAGTTCTACCTATGTGGAGACAGATATCCAGCAGAGGGAGATAACACGGGGTCACGCCTCAAATCCAGGGGACTGCCTGCATACTAGAACTGTCTGGATGCCCAAGGGAAGTCTGCAGCAGTGGAAGTTAGGTGGACTCAAGTTTGGAGAAAGCCCGGTTGTGACCTGGCCTTTATTACTCTTGGGACCCCAGGCAATGCCCTTACCTACCCTGAATCTGTTTACTTTTCTTTCTTTCTTTTAAAAATATTTATTTTAGGTGTAGATGGACACAACACAATGCCTTTATTTTTATGTGGTGCTGAGGAACCTGGGTCCCACCCCTGCTAGGCAAGTGCTCTACCACTGAGCCACAATCCTAGCCCCTTTTTCTTTTTTAATATCTTTGTTTTGTTTATTTTTATGTGATGCTGAGGATCAAACCCCGTGCCTCCCACATGTGAGCACTCTGCCACTGAGCCACAACTCCAGCCCTGAATCTGTTCTTATCTGTAAAATGAGTTCAATACCTCTCTCATGGGTTGAAGACCAAGTGAGATAATACCTGTAAAGTGCTAGTGTGGAGGGTTTGGTTTTGTTTGCAGTGCTGGGGATGGAACCCAGTGCTGACTTAGGCCAGCACTCTACTACTGAGCTAGACCCCCACTATGCTAAATAAAGCAAAGGGGACACCCCACTAAGTACCTCTTTGTTCCCCTGCCTCAAACTGAACTCTTCAGCAGAGAGGTCCCCATCAGCCACAAGGCTGCCTCTTCCCAGGAGGTACAGCTGGGGCTTCAGTCCTGGCTAGCGTGTTCAGTGGTCTATACTTCCTGATCCTACAGAGGGGCACTCCATGGCAGGAACCATAGAAGCCAATCTCCTAACTTCTGTAGAGGTCTGATGGGGGATGGGCAGAGGTAGGGAGCCAAGAGAGAACAGGTATAAGTGAGGAGAGGGGATGACAGGCAGGGGAAAGGGGCAGGAGTGTCCCAGAAGGGGGTGGTACTGAGGTAGGGACTAGGTTGGGGGGTCATGTCTCAGAGGAAGTGAAGGACCAGTAGAGAAACCTACTGTGGTTCTTGGGCCTCTGTGTGGGACATCAGGGGAAGGCGGCAGTACATTCTGTCCTGTCGTCCAGATAAGGATTTTCTCTGGCCCACTGGACTGCTGGTTGCCTCTGCAACTTGGAGGAAGGAGTCTCAGCTACCCCACCCCTGTTGGTCTCCCTGCTCTGCAGGCCCAGATGAATCTGCTGTCCTTACAGCATCCAGGAAGTCCACGGAAGGGCAGAGGGCCAAGGTGGTATGAATTTCTGAGGCATGGGATCTGCTCTTACAGCCTGCCCCCACCCCAGGCTTCTCCTTTGCACTTCTGTGAGAGCGAACAAGCAAACATACAGGTGGTAAGAGAGTCTAAGTGTGACCCCTCTATATTTCATATATCCACATTCTCAATAATCTACGTTGTGGAATGATTTCAAATACCATTTAGATATTAATGCCCCCCACAACACCCCAAAAATGTACATATCTCCAACCTCATCGTTTCCTGCAAACACCAGGTTTATATTTCCAGCTGCCTACTCAGTGTCACATGATGTCTAGTAATCATAACGTGTTCAATGATTGGGGAATACTTCCTCCTCCTTCAGTCTTCCTCATTTCAGTGGGTGATGACAACTCCATTTGTCCAGATGCTCAATCCAAAAACCTTGAATTATTACTTAATTGCAGCCAACCCCATTTTTTTTTTAATACCATGAAGTGAACCTAGAGGTGCTTACCAAGGAAGCCACATCCCCAGCCCTTTTTTTTTTTTTTGGTGCTGGAGATTGAACCCATGGCCTTGTGCATGTGAGGCAAGCTCTCTACCAACTGGGCTACATCTCCAACCCCTTCTGTCTTGTATTTTATTTAGAGACAGGGTCTCACTGAATTGCTTAGGGCCTTTTTGCTGAGGCTGGTTTTGAACTGGTAATCCTCCTGCCTCAGCCTCCCGAGCTGCTGTGATTAATACGTGCGCCACCGTGCCCAGCTAGTTTTTATTTTGAGATGGGTCTGGCTAAATTGCTGAGGTTGGCTTTACACTTGCAGTTCTACTGTCTCAGCCTTCTGAGCTGCTGGGATTACAAGTGTTCGCCACCACACCCAGCTCCCCTCATCTTTCAATCAATCTTTCAGCAAATACTGACAACTCCACCCTATATCTTCAACCTTCAAAGCATATTGGGAAATCATCCTGTTCCTCACACTATCATCTCTCTCGGCTATGTAGTAGCCTCCCAAGTGGTTTTCTTGATTTTGCTCTTGCCCTCCAACAGTAAAATTTTCCACAGTACAGTCAGAATGATTTTTTTAAAAATGAAATTCTTCTCATCAAAATGCCTTCTGGGGGGCTGGGGATGTGGCTCAAGCGGGAGCGTGCTCGCCTGGCATGCGTGCGGCCCGGGTTCGATCCCCAGCACCACATATAAACAAAGATGTGTCCGCTGAAAAAAACTAAAAAATAAATATTTTTTAAAAAATGCCTTCTGTTGCTTTCCATTTCAGTAAAAGCCAATGTTTACAAGAACTGCTGTGATCTGACCCCTATGTTCTTCTGATCTCATCTCCCACCACTCTTCATATCCATTCACTTTGGTCCCCCTGGTCCTGTCTCAGGATCTTTGCATTTGCCATCTCCTCTGTCTGGTTTGCTTTATCCCTGATCTCTCATTCTCTCTCTTCCCTCAGGTGTTTGCTGTTTCCCTGGAACACCCTATCTAAAACAGCATTCCTTTCCCTCCAGTATGGTCGGTCCCCTTACTCTGCTTTATTATTCTTCATAGCCCTCATCACCAATAGATATATTACAGAATTTTTTAAATTGTTTAATTCACCACCCCATCCCAAGACACACAGGAATCTAAACTCCAGGAGAGCAGAGACTTTGTTATTTTTGCTCACTGCTCTATCCCTTGTGCTTAGAACCCCACCTGAACATGGGAGGGGCTAAATAACACACTTGCTGAAAAAGAGTAACTCTGTGTGCCAGATGAGACTGTCCAGATGTTTTGGGACATTCTCAGACAGTCTTTGCTTCTTCAAATGAAGTTTTTCTCTTTAAAATCCAATTTAAGATGTCACTTGCAAGCAGCCTGGTCCCTTAATGCCTTTGTGTCTTCACAATTGTGCATTCCTTGACTACAAAGGCAGATTTGTGGGGCTGAGGGATTATACACTTTTAGAGGCTTTAAGAATACGACAGGCTAGGGCTGTAGCTCAGTGGTGGAGTGTTTGCCTACCAAGGGTGAGGTAATGGGTTCAATCCTCAGCACCACATAAAAACAAATAAATAAAATAAAGGTTAAAGCCTCTCTCTCTCTCTTTTTTTTTTTTTTTGTGTGTGGGGGGGTACCGGGGATTGAACTCAGGGGCACTCAACCCCTAGTCACATCCCCCATCCCTATTTTGTATTTTATTTAGAGACGGTCTCACTGATTTGCTTAGTCCCTCGCCGTTGCTGAGACTGGTTTTGAACTCTCCACCCTCCTGTCTCAGCCTCCTGAGCCGCTGGGATTACAGGTGTGCGCCACAGCGCCCGGCTTCATTACTGGAATCTTGAGGATTGATTGCTTTCCCTTTTCAGATCTCCGTGAACAATTTACCTGAAAAGTCTTCTAATAGCAACCTGGCTTTCTCCCCACACCGCTCCAAACTCCAGTCTAATCAGCCCTCATTAACTTCGAGGTAAATCTTTACCACTATGTCCCACGCCCTTGCCCACTTTTCTCCTGTTTAGAGACCCTGGTAGCTCTACTGAGCTCACACGCAGAGCTCCTTCTCCTCTCTTGAAAGCAGGCGCACTAAGGTGCGTGGTGCGGCGAGCATCCTATAGAAGCCATGAGAACCGGTCTCTATGTACCCCTGGAACATTCAGGGTCCCATACATCCCATGTGCGAAATGGGACTTGGGTAAAGTTGCCCAGTAATCTATCAAATGAAAATCCTCGGGCTGGGAGCGGGAGGACCAGGAGGCTCTAGGAACGCCTCTCCTAGTGCAAGTGCAATTTTGTGACCCCTACCTCTGTCACTGGAATTAAGGAGGAAAGCCGGTATTAGTTCTGGTTGCCTTTTGTTTAACCTAGTTGAAACCAATCTCTCTTCTCCAGGGCTGAAGGGAATCCGCCATCTGGGCTTTCAAGCCTGCCTTGCCCTTTTCTGCCCAGTCCGGATGGATCTGGAGCCAAGATTTAATCAGTCTCACAACCTCCGCGCTCAGCTCCGCCTCATCAACAGTACATGCTCCGTTCCACAAGAAACCTCACGAGAGTTCCGTGAGATTTGAGTTCCGAAGTTGAGATGTTTGGCCTCTCTCGGTTTCCATACCTCGGAGTTGTGGTTCCAAAGGCAGTGCTTCCGGGCCGTCGCTCGGGAAGCCTCCGCGGCTGGTGTAAGTGGAACCAAAGCCTGGGGGGTTCAGCTAGTAGGGAACCAACCTAAACGTCAGCGTCCCCCTTTAGGCCCCTCCTTCGATTTCTTGAAGACCCAGTGCAGTTTAGTAAGAGGGCCCAGTTCCTGGATCCCCAGCCCTATGACGCAGGGATTCCTCTCCAGTTCCCCCTTCCCAGGATTTTGGTTTACTTCAGAGAAGTCATTGCGCGATCGGCCAGGCCTTCTCCTGGCTCCAGGTCTCCTTCTGGGTCCAAGGCCCAGTGCAGGTCTCGGCTTCAACCAATAGCCCCTTAGCCATCCTCATTTCCTCTCCCTGACTGTCCTTAGGCCTAGGCAGCATGGCTGTATTCCAGTCGGGCCTCCTGGTGCTGACGACGCCACTGGCCTCCCTGGCCCCTCGCCTCGCTCCTATCCTGACCTCAGCTGCCCGCCTGGTGAATCACACACTCTATGTACACCTGCAGCCGGGCATGAGTCTGGAGGGCCCTGCCCAGCCCCAGTCCAGCCCGGTGAAGGCCACGTTTGAGGTTCTCGATTTCATCGCGCACCTTTACGCTGGCGCCAACCTCCACAGGCACCTGGACGTCAGAATTCTACTGACCAACATCCAAACCAAGAGCGCCTTTCTCCCTCCACTGCCCAGCTCAGTCCAGAATTTGGCCCACCCGCCAGAAGTAGTGCTGACTGACTTCCAGACCCTGGATGGAAGTCAGTACAATCCAGTTAAGCAACAACTAGAACGATATGCCACCAGCTGTTACAGCTGTTGTCCACAACTGTCTTCAGTGCTGCTGTACCCGGATTATGGGACCGGAATGCTGCTTGTGGAGTCCCTGGATGTACCCTTATCCTCCACCATTAGGCCAGCTTCCCCTGTGGCTAGGTCTCCAAAGCAGCCTGTGCGTGGCTACCACCGTGGGGCTGTGGGTGGCACGTTTGACCGCTTGCACAATGCTCACAAGGTGTTGCTCAGTGTTGCATGCATCCTGGCCCAGGAGCAGCTTGTGGTGGGAGTAGCAGATAAAGATCTGTTAAAGAGTGAGTGAGAGGGACCCTGCATTAGGGTAGTGGAGGATTTCCCAAATTTCCTCTCCCAACCACCACCGTTAATGCCAAGATCAAGAAAGATAGGGCTATTAGTTCACACCCATTCCAAATGTCGCAATGCTTGACAGTTGGTGCTGAGGAAGCTTTCTTTTTTAAGTTAATTAATTAATTAATTTTAATTAGGTATATATGACAACAATGCATTTTGATTCATTGTATTGAGGAAGCTTTCTTAGTTTGTGGTTCAATCACCAGTTAGACCTCCCAAATGTGGAACTAAGGAATCTACTTTTAAGATTCTCCAGGTGATCAACTGTAAAATTTGAGACACTGGGAATAAATAGACAAATGAATTGTAAGGTAGTAGTGCTACAGACAGTAAGAATGAACTCAAGGATGACATGGCTCTTGGGATTCTCTAACTCTGATGCCCATTAGCATTGTTAGTTCTCTGGAGTAATCTCTCGGTGGCTTGTTCTCTGGACTCATGCCAGCCCTTGCAGAGACTATGGTGCTCGTCCATTTCCTCCCCTTCATGTCCCTCCCCTGCAACAGACTCCCAGTTTAATACTTTCTTCCTGTCACCCTCCTCTGGAGATACAGGGCCTAGGGACACTCTTCCCCAAACAGGCCCACACTCTTCTTCCCCAGTAAAAAAGCCTCACTGTTTTTCTGGGCTCCTTCCCCAGGCAAGTTGCTCCCTGAGCTGCTCCAGCCTTATGCAGAACGTGTGGAACATCTGAGTGAGTTCCTGGTGGACATCAAGCCCTCCCTGACTTTTGATATCATCCCCCTACTGGACCCCTATGGGCCTGCTGGCTCTGACCCCTCCTTGGAGTTCCTGGTGGTCAGCGAGGAGACCTATCGTGGGGGGATGGCCGCCAACCGCTTCCGCCTTGAGAATGTAACCCCTGGGAGACTGGCAGAGGGTGTGGATGGGAAGGGGGAAAACCTTTATGGGGTGCTGTTGGAAGTACCATGGCTCCAGAGGAGGGAAGAGAGGGGTCAGGGTGGTGGGAAGAAGCAAGAAGAAACTGGTTCCCAGCTTCCCTTCCTTGGGTAGGTAGAAGAGGATAAAGGGGATCTGGGTTCTTCCTTCCTCCTCTCACTCTTTTCTCATCCTTCCCCCTTTACCCTAGGACTTGGAGGAGCTTGCCTTGTATCAGATCCAGCTGGTGAAGGACGAAAGCCACGAGCAACATGAAGAAGAGAAAGTCAGTTCCTCCAACTCCCGCCAAAGACTGCTGGGAAAGCTGCTTCGGCCTCCAAATGTAAGCCTACCTTTCCTCTTTCACTTGTGTTTGGGCGTGCTGGAAATGCTGGAGAGTAAAAATTGAGGGGTTCAGCCTCAAGCATGAACCTAAGGGCCCTAGTAACTATGGGGTTCCTTCTCATCTACCCCAGAAGAGGCCAGAGCTCCCTTCAGGTCTCTACGTGATTGGGCTGACTGGCATCAGTGGCTCTGGGAAGAGCTCAATAGCTCAGCGGCTGAAGGGCCTGGGGGCATTTGTCATCGACAGTGACCACTTGGGCCATCGGGCCTACGCCCCAAGTGGCCCTGCATACCAACCTGTGGTGGAGGCCTTTGGAACAGGTAACAACTGGGGAGGGCTAGAGGTGGCTTGAAGTGAGGAGATGGCTTGGTCTCTTTGCTTAGTCCTCCTTCTCTGTCACTCAGATATTCTCCATAAAGATGGCATCATCAATAGGAAGATCCTAGGCAGCCGGGTGTTTGGAAACAAGGTAAACACACACCTCTCAGGGCTCTTTAGCTCCTCCTAAATTCTGACCCAGAATTTGGATTTCTGCTCATTTGTTCCCAACTCCCACCTCCTGGGCTGGCTCCATCACTCAGGGAAAGTAACCTCTGCCTACTTCCTCTTTCCCCTCCCCAGAAGCAGATGAAGATACTCACCGACATTGTGTGGCCAGTTATTGCAAAGCTGGCCCGAGAGGAGATGGATCTAGCTGTGGCTGAGGGTGAGTGGGAGGGATGATGGGAACAGTTGAAGGGGAGAGTTGAGCAGATTCTCCCCGAGAGCTTCCCTGCCCCCAGCATGGCTATCCACTTTCCCTGGGACTTGTTTTTGTGGGCCTCTGATTGATAGTAAGCATTAGAGTGCTGCTGACAGTGACTGGGGTCTCCCCACAGGAAAGGATGTGTGTGTGATTGATGCCGCCATGCTGCTTGAAGCCGGCTGGCAGAACATGGTACATGAGGTGTGGACCGTTGTCATCCCTGAGACAGAGGTATCTGGACCCCACCCTTACCCCATCCCTACTGCAGATGGTATCCTGCTCTGATCCAGCAGGCTGAGCTGGGATCCTTCCTGACAAATGCCTCGTCTGTGCCCAGGCTGTACGACGCATTGTGGAGAGGGATGGCCTAAGTGAAGCTGCCGCTCAAAGCAGGCTACAGAGCCAGATGAGTGGGCAGCAGCTTGTGGACCAGAGCCACGTGGTGCTGAGCACCTTGTGGGAGCCGCATGTCACCCAACTCCAGGTTGATGCCCAGGGAAAGAAAGGGTTGTGGGGAGGGAATGTCCAGTGGGTGTTTGCCTGACGTTGTCCTTTCTTCCAATATCCTGGACTGTCGGAAGGTGGAAAAAGCCTGGAATCTCCTGCAGAAGCGCATATCCAAAACTCCTCAGGCCCGTGACTGATAACGAATTCTCTGTGGGACCGCAGTGGCCTCTGGAGTAGATGAGATCCAGTGTTGTGGAGGAATGGGTACCTTGATGCTCTTCCAGTCTCAGGCCTAGGGGGCTTCAAGCTAAGCTGTGCAGGACATGGCTGGGCCTGATAGACACAGGAATCCTATGCAGCATGCTGACGTTTAATCAACAGTAAAGATGTGGCTTATTGGGGAGTAGGCCCCTGTGGAGTTCCATCCCTATTCTTGCCCACAAATGTCTGATGCCCACCACTGACTGGGGTCATGGCAAACACTGGAATTTCTAACAGAATTAAAGGTGAATGTCTACAGGTGCTGCCTGTATGGTGTCTGCTTCCTGCTCCAGCGTCTCTAAAGTGTCTTTGGACTCTTATGCCACAAGTTCAGGGCCCAGACCTGAGCCAGAAATCAGGATTACAGTGGTTAAGTATATGGCCTTTGAAGTTAGCCAGACTGATGTCATCCTCGTTCTTCCCACTTACTAGCTGTGAGAGAGACTTTTGAGTGAGAGACTTTTTAGGTACTTCTAATTCCTCACTATAAAACAGCAAAACAACTAACAAACTTTTTGCAAGGATTATTTAATTCCACAAGCACCATGCCAGCTACTGGGCTGGGTTTTGGAAGATCAATGCTGGGTAGTGGCTCTGCCCTCAGAACTTGCAGCTTGATGGGGTCAGATGATGTGAAGCAGGAGTGCTCCGCCCAGTTTCTAACCTAGGGACAAGGTCTGCAGGTGCAGGTGAGTGCACATGCGCACAGGATCTGCAACAATATTTAGAAAACTTTTTCCCCCTTGGGTAGTGCTGAGGATGGAACCCATGGTCCTTCACATGAGAAGCACTGGCTCTACATCGAAATATATATCTATCTATCTATCCCCAGCCCTCACAAAAGCCTTTTGAAGGGATCCCATTTCATAGAAGGTGCTTCATGTGGCCGCCATTCTAGACCCTAAACTGCAGAAAGGCAGGGACAGGCGAGGAGCAGATCCCTATCACCGACCAGTTGTAGGTCCAACGCCAAGGAGAACCACCTCCGGTCAGTTTTAAAGTCTTGAGACGCGCGTGCGCAGCGCTCTCGCCCCATCCCTGCCTCTCCGTCGTGGATTGGCGAACTCTAGTCACGTGGACGCGCCTCTCCGCTTCCTCGCAGCAGGGGGCCCGCCCGCTTAGTTGTTTCCGGTTCGATAGGTCCAAGATGACGGAGCCAGGCGCCTCTCCCGAGGACCCCTGGGTCAAGGCAAGCCCCGTGGGCGCGTGCGCCGGCTCCGGGGAAGGGCGGGCTGGGCTCGTGCACACAGAGGTTCGAGAAGATTAGGGGCTTCCTTCCTGTCCCCAGAGTCTCCCGGGGCTGCAGATAGACAGTTTTTACCCCGCGGCTGCCAAGGTGTAGAGACAAACGAGGCGCGCGAGGCGTGTGCGCGCGAGCGCGAGGGAACGAGGGGGCTGGGGGCCGGAGGATGAGTGGGGCGGAAGGGATCACGCAGAGGGGCGGCGCTCTCACAGCCTATCCCAGCTTTGCGTTCGGGGAACCTTTCGGCTGTCCGCACACTTGTGTCTGATGGGCTTCTCCCTTGCTTGGTGCTTGCAGGTGGAGTATGCCTACAGTGACAACAGCCTGGACCCTGGTGAGTGAGTACCTCCCCTATTGTCTTGGGCTTTTGGAATGATTCTCCTGTTTCAGCTGTATAAATTCTTGTGGCCTTGCTAGCCACACCTGAGCACAGTCCACTGTCTCTGAGCCAAGGTCCTGGCTTGAGACATGAAAAAGGAACTGGAGAATGGGCAGGAAGCAACCATGGGTGACACCTGATTCCTCTGCTCTGGACCAGGAAGTGATGGAAATAGTGACAGCTGTTCACTGGTTCTCAAATGTTCAGATGTCCCTTTGTGAGCCAGAGGGTTTGACTGCAGGCCTATGGAGCAGTGTAGATATGGGAGACAGGAGCTTTGCAGCATGATATGGCAGGAAGTGGGTGGCTCAGGACGGCTGGCAGTCATTTAAGGAAGCCTTTGTGCCCACAGTTGTCTATGAGGGCTGGCAATGCACTCCATTCCAGTCCTTAGTGATTGGAACCTCTCTTTTCCAGGGCTTTTTGTAGAAAACACTCGTAAGGGAAGTGTAGTGTCCAGAGCTAATAGCATCGGTTCCACCAGTGCCTCTTCTGTCCCCAACACAGGTAGGCAGCAACACCCTCCTGCCCACCTGGGGGTCTCAGTTATGCCATCATTTTAGTATCTTTCCTAGACAGGGAAGCTCCAGCTGACCACATGGGGGTGTTGGAGTCTTGAGTGCCAGACACAGGGTGTGTCTTTTACCTCATCCAGGATATTTGACTGATTCTTTGCCCATCTGCCATCTCTGGGCACTGGGTTCTTCCCATCAGGGAAAGGTGGGCTAGCTGGGCCCCACTGGGCCCTAAGGTGACCTCTCCCTGCCCCCAACTCTGAGCGTAGATGATGAGGACAGTGATTACCACCAGGAGTCCTACAAGGAATCCTACAAAGACCGCCGGCGGCGAGCACATACCCAGTCGGAGCAGAAGAGGAGGGACGCCATCAAGGTGATTGGGGGGGGCGCTATGTATTTTAGATTTTCTCTGCCCAGACCACCTCAAACAGCTCCAAATAGCCTTACGGGTGAGCTGATATAGTCCCTGGGCGTGAACATCATCTTTCCAGGAGCTGTGCATGATCTAGTCCCTGGGCATGAACATCTTCTTTCCACCCCCACCCCCCCGCAGTTTGTGAGAATGGAACTGGTGTCATGGAAGCTTTGTGCCATCTTGACTTAATCCCTCAGGGTTAAGGATCCCCTTTCTCATGTTGTTTCCACAGAGAGGCTATGATGACCTTCAGACCATCGTCCCCACCTGCCAGCAGCAGGACTTCTCCATTGGCTCTCAAAAGCTCAGCAAAGCCATCGTTCTACAGAAGAGTATGGACGGGGAGAGAACTGAGGGGTGGAGCCAACAGGGGCTGTGAAGAGGGCAGCACTACATACCCATCCCCGGCCTGGCCCTGGTGTGGTGGTTGTAATGGGATAATGGGTGTGGAGGAGGGAAATCAAATTCAGTTTTGTTCTCCTGGTTGAGATTTCCTCTGCTTCCACCCCAGCCATCGACTACATCCAGTTTTTACACAAGGAGAAGAAAAAGCAGGAAGAGGAGGTGTCTACACTACGCAAGGATGTCACAGCCCTAAAGATAATGAAAGTGTAAGAGGGGTGCTGAACTGGGGAAATTAGCTTCTGAGGGGACTGAGGCTGACTGCTGCACACACCTTTGCCTTGTCCAAAGGCTACACCAGGTAATATGTGTAGATAATATTCGCACTACCTGAGTCAGCCACTGTGAAGCAAGACTGTATCCCAGATAGCACCTTATATATGGCATTCAGAAAACGCCTGTTAGTGAAGGACAGCTGGAGACTCACCATTTCTGACCTGGTAGTAGTATTGAATACATCCCCAAAACTCCAATGAAAGGAGGGGTGGTGGGCAAGTGCACAGAGCAACCTCATCATTGTTTTCCTGGGTGGTGGGGAGCTGCTGTAGCACCTCATCTATGCCTATTTGCTTTCAGAAACTATGAGCAGATTGTGAAGGCACATCAGGACAACCCCCATGAGGGAGAGGACCAGGTCTCTGACCAGGACAAGTTTAATGTGTTTCAAGGTGTCATGGACTCCCTGTTTGAGTCCTTCAATGCCTCCATCTCTGTGGCCAGCTTCCAAGAGCTATCAGCTTGTGTTTTCAGCTGGATTGAGGAGCACTGTAAGCCTCAGGTATGGGACAGAAATGATCTGGGGTTCTAACATTACCCTCAGATATTGTGAACAAAGCCACTTTTTGTTCAGAAAAGTAGGATAGCCACTTTAAGTGTCTTTCAACTTTCAGTATTCTGTTATCTTCCGTGCTTCCAGCCGAGATTTTCACATTAAGGTCTCATTGGCAAGTATGGTGTGAGCACTCAATGCCAGAGCCCTCTCTTGGCTTTTGTTTAACCCATGTTACACTACTGCTGCCTCATGTATCATTCTTTGGCTGCCTTGTGTGGAAGCCCTGATCACCTGCAGCAGTTACCTACAGTTTTTGGAAACATGCAGATTTCAGGCCCTCACTCCCAGGCCCATTAAAATAGTTGCCCCAAGAGCTTTTGATTGTTTATTTGTAAGAAGAGATATATTAATGGTATTGAACTATCTTCTGCTTCTAAAGCCTGGCTGCTTTTTCTCAAGGCTTGAACTTGTATTCAAGACTTATTTGTTTCCCAACATTATAATTGTGAAATGCTTTAAACATACTGCAACATTGAATTTTAGAATAATTAACTGCTGGGACTGGGGTTGTAGCTCAGCGGTAGAATGCCTGCCTAGTGCATATGGGGCGCTGGGTTCAATCCTCAGCACCATATATGAATAAATAAAAAATAAAGGCATTGTGTCCACCTACAACCAAAAAAAAATATTTAAGAAAAGTTAACTGCCTTCTACCAGTAACATTTTATTATACTTGCTTTATCATATACCTCTTTCCATGCAGTTTTGTTATTTTTTGCCATGCTGGGGATAGAATCCCCCAGGCAAGTGTTCTACCACTGAACTACACCCCTAGCTCTTCAATGCACTTTTCTTAAAGAGCATGTCAAAAGGTAGCTCTGTACCTTCCTGAGCTTTGTTTTCTGCTGCCCTCACCAGACCCTGCGGGAGATCGTGATTGGCGTCCTGCATCAATTGAAAAATCAACTTTACTGATGGCTCTTGGAAACATGCAGAATGGCCAGCAAGAGATTTTTGAGTTTCCTATTTGGTCTTGGGACTGCTGGGCCTGAGATTGGACTGTGACACCTCACACCAGTCAGCTGGTTTCTACTTGGTGTTTGGTCTTCCCAGCTTCACTTCATCTTCAGTGGAGTTGGGGGTTTTGTTTTGTGAAAGCTTCTGATTAATTTATTATATTGACCATAAAGTCAAACCTACCCAGTCTTCTTCTCCCTGTAAGTCCTCAGGACCGGAGTCTGTTCTGAGTATCCCAAAGAACTCCTGGCCTTTCAGCTCTTTCTCTAAACCTCGGATTTCTGTTCATGATTTGTGTGTACATGGAAACTGCCTGTTTTGGTTTCTTGGGTAACATGACTCAAGCATGGATGTTTTAGAAGTAGTTGGGTGGGAGAAAAGGAGTGAGAGGAAATAGTCCCACAGCCATGAAGGTTGAAAGGCTTAGACTAGGGCTGCCTGGTTAGTCTAAGATGAGACTGGAGCTTTCTGGCCAGCTGAGGGCAGGGCTATTGGGTTTCTATTTTTGCCTTATGTTCCATCACCTCCTTCCTCCCTATCCATCCTTGCCCTGTTCTCCAGCAGTAGTCCTGCACAGCAAAGGCAGATGAGACACAGCACTACAAACTTGAAATTTTTTATTTTTCTAAACATCAACAATGCAACTTCAGTACAGTTTCTGGGCCTCAAAAACCACCTCAGTCTTTCTGTCCAGTTTCTCTATCATCACCCAGTGCTGTCTGCACTTCTCCCAGGACTTAGGAGTGGGGGGAAAGGGTACAGAAAATAATCAAAATGTGTCCTGGGATGAAAGTACTGGGGGATGTCTTAGGCTTCTCAAATGCTGAGGTATAGCAGCCTCTCTCTACTTTATTTCCCAAGCTCCCTGCTGCTTTCTTCAGGTTTGATGTCTGGGAGGTTTGAATATTCAGAGGACATTAAATATTTTTATATCAAATTATATCACAATAAATATTATAAAATGCTTTCTTTTAGCTTCATTCTAAGTGTGCATGTTAAGTTCAAGTTGTTAAAATGTGGAAAATGAAATGGGTGTGACCATCCTTTCCTGGCCACCAGCCCTCCCTCTTCCCAATGCACTGGGCTAGTGCCTCTCTTCTCACTATTCTCCAAGGTGAAGCGCAGCAGGAACAACAAAAAAAGCCATTCTAAACAAAAGTGGCCAGTCCTAGCATCTCTTGTGTTTCCATCCTCCAGTTTTCACAGAGGGCCCCCTCAGGGATCTGGGAGTGTGACTTTATAATCTTCATCTGTCTCTATCCCAACTTCCTCCTGTAGGACAGAGACAGAAGTGAATGAGACATCCCAGGGTGATGGCCCTAGGGGAGGAAGGGAGAGAGGGCCACTTACAAAGAATTGCTTCTTGCTCTTAGGGTAGCCTTCAAGGATTGCATCGGATAGCTCTGTTGCCTGATGAAACAAAACCACCTTTTTTTATTTTTGGGGTACCGGGGATTGGACTCAGGGGCACTCAGCCACTGAGCTACATCTCCAGGACTATTTTGTATTTTATATTTAGAGTCAGGGTCTCACTGAGTTGCTTAGCACCTCACTTTTGCTGAGGGCTGACTTTGAACTCAACAATCTTCCTGGCCTTAGCCTCCAGAGAGTCACTGGGATTACAGGCATGTGCCACCACGCCCGGCAAAACCACCCCTTTTTAGGTGGGCAACACTGGGCACTAACTGTCAGACCATGACATTGGGCAGCAATTTCTTTGTGGCTGCCATTTTTTTAAAGCACTCCCAGAGCCTCCCTTGGAGCTCCAACTCACCATTCTCTTCCGCTTCCTCCACTCCTTACAGTATTTCTGCCTGTCTCTGTAAACCTAGAAAGAAGAAACAGGTTACTCTAAATCCCTCAGGCCCACAGTTACCTGTTGAGGATCAACCCTTGTCCTCAATCCTGCGCAAGCAACTCTAGCCTTCCTCCCAGCTCACCTGCTCTTTCTCCTCTGGAGTGACATGGTTGGTGGCAGCTTTGATGTTCTTCAATCTCTCTAGGTAGCCAGCACATTCCTTCTTTAACTCCTCAATCTCTTTCTGCATCTCCGGAGTAGTCAGGGCACTAGTTAACTCCTTCAGCTCTGAAACCACATCCTCCTGAGGTCACTTGCCACCCCTGACAGAGAGGTTCTGTCTTTCCCAGTCAGGGGGTACTCTTTGAAGTAGGAATGTGAATTCTACCTTGCTCTGAGATCTACTAGAATAAGACCCCACATTCAGGAAAATAAGGCTTACAGAGTCACCAGTTCATTCTATTTTTCTTTGTCTTCCAGCTACAAGTAGTGGGCTATGAGGTTAAGCAGACTAATGTGTAGCCAGTTAAAGCAGGAATAGAGGAAAACAGGGGGGCAGTGTGCTGAAGATCACGGCAGAGGAAGCAAATGCATGTCTTGCCCATTTGTACACAAAAGCCATTAGTGATTCTACATTTTTCTTTCTTTCTTTTTTTTTGGTACGGGGGATTGAACTCAGGGACACTTAACCACTGAGCCACATGCCCAGACCTATTTTGTGTTTTATTTAGACACAGGGTCTCACTGAGTTGCTTAGCACCTTGATTTTTGCTCAGGATGGCACTGAACTCGCGATCCTCCTGTCTCAGCCTCCCAAGCCACTGGAATTATAGGCGTGCACCACTGCACCTAGCTCTACATTTCTTTTAATGTAATGCCTGAGGCGGCCCAGCAAAGTGGTCTTCTCTGCAACAAGACACTGTAATCAGTGAGCCATTCACTTAGCAGTTCCTGACTTCCACACTGAACTTGGCCCTATGGGCACCTTGCAAGGGCTCCCCAGTCCTACCAGCCTCCATGTGGCGGCAACTCTGCTGCAAGCTCTGCACCTTGGCAGTGAGGGCCACGATTTTGGCATCCAGGCTGTGAAGGTCAGCATCACTCACCATTTCAAACTGGTTCTGCCAGAGACAAGAGAAAAAGTACAAATGAATTAATGTGAGGCATAAAAAGGAAAAAAAAATATCAGGAAGGCAGTAACAAGTCATTCATTTGAATACTGGTCCCAAAGAAAATGTGTAAAAAAAGTTGAAACCTAATGCCTAACCTCAAAGAGCGTCCAGGTTGGCAGGATAATAAATAGGACAGAAACATCTTTCCATTAGTGATAAAACCTACTCACTGGGCTAAAGGAGTAAAGAAACATTCTTACCAAGGTGGGGACACCTAGACCATGAGTTTCAGCAATAGGTAGAATCTAATGGAGTTGGAGATGTAGCTCAGTGGCAAAGTGCTTGCCTAGCACATACAAAGTCCTGGGTTTCATCCTTGCCTAGAGGGAGTAGGGGGAGTCGGGAAACCCAAAGAATCTTACAAGTGAAGAAGCACAAGAGGCTCTATTTAGATAAGGGATTCTAATGGAAGTCTAAGGAGCCCCTCTCATGAGAGGCTGCTAGAAAAGGATTACCCTAGGGTGGAGTTCAGTTGGTAGAGCATTTATCTAAGCATAGTAAGGCCCTGTGTTCAGGCCTCAGCATCATAAAAAACAAAACCTATTGCAGATCAGTGAGAGTCACATCACCTGGGAATAGGACCCAGTCTAGCAAGGATGGGAATGCCAGCTTGGGCAGTTTAGACTTTATGCATAGGCAAGATAAATGTTTACAGCAGGGACCTGCAAACAGCAAACTAAATTCTGCATGTTTTTGAAAAAGACCATAGGGCCTGCAAAGCTAAAATACTGTGAAGCCCTTTACAGAAGTTTGCCAACCCCTCTTTTAGATAATTCTCAATAGAGTAGTAATTTGTTATACTTTACTTCAATTAAACGAGTAATGTCTTTTAGATGTTAGATACTGGGGTAATGAGTCAACAAAGATGAACACAAAATGAGGTCTGCCCAGAGGAACCTTAGTTTAGTGAGGGAGACAAGTAGAAAGAAAATTATATACCTCATGACTCAAAAGGCATAAGAGCCTGAAAAAGGAGAAGTTGGCTCCTCCTTCTGGAGATCATTTCTGGGTTTCTGGAGAGAGTGGGGACTGAGTGAAATTTCAAAGGACTGAATAAGATTTAAGTGGGCAGAGGCAGAAGGAGGAAAAGCAAGGGACAGAGGAATAAAACATACCTAAATTGTTTAGTATTGATGGGTGAAGAAATAATAAGGGCAGGTGAAGCCAGAGGCTGGCTGCAGCAAGTCTTCAGGTGCCTTTTACCTGTTCTATGGAGCACACATGAGGCATTGAAGAGTTTTATGTAGGGGATGGTACGTGATCACATTTGCATTTAGATAGATGATTCTGGCTGTAGTGTTCAAGATATGTTCGAGGAGGTGAGATCTTTTGGGGGGACATTTGTAGACAACAAGGCCTGGACTAGAGCAGTGATAGCAGAGGGAAAGGAAATTGGACTCAAGAAGAAAAAAATCAGCTCTACTTGATGGACTAGACATTGCAGGGGAAAAGTCAGGAATTACTCTCAAGTCTCTGGTTTGGGTGAAAAGTGATTCCATTAAGGGAGAAGAATGCTAGGGAGGAGCCAGTTAGGAAGGCATTCTTCTTTTGCAGGATTGATTCTGATACTGAAGTCAGAGACATACAAGTGAAGGTCTAGGCTAAAGAATACAAATCCCAGGGCAGGGTTGTGACTCAGTGGTAGAGCGCTGGTGGGGTGCCAAAGAGTTGATACTAGTTGATTCAGTGTTGGCATCTGATATAGGTCATAATGTGCGCAGGCTCTCCTCACCTGATCCGCAAAATAGATCTTCTGCTTGCCGTACATCTTCTCTTTGATCTTGCCTTGTTGGGCCAGCTGCTCCAGCGCCTTCACCACCGCCTGGCAGAAGGGAAGGGAGGGCAATAAGAGGAGTCTTTGGGCCCAGGCAGGGGAGATTTCAGCCAGTAATGGGAGAGGGCGGAAGCCCCGGGAGGTCAGGAACCCAGCCTGATTACAGGGGCTCCGCGGGGAGGGAATCCTCAAAGGTCCTCACCGCCTTGCCCAGACCGTGTTCCTTCTGCAGGTTCCCGAATACATCCTGGGCGCTATAGGGCCGGTTCTGCTCCTGCAGGTACTTCAGGAGGAGGCCAGGGGCTGCGGAGAGAGACGAGACGGTGAGACGAGACCGTGTCACTAGGCCGGTCTCTCCCGCTCCCCTCCCGAATCGTGCTAGCGCCTCCGTTACCTCCCGCCGCAGCTTCTGCCCGGGCTTTACTCATGGCCTTTCCCGCCGCCAAATTCAGAAAGCCAGACGTCGTAGTTGCTCGGGGCTACAGCTCTTTCCGGCAACGCGGGAGGGCCTCAAGCAGTGATTGGCTGAAGGGGAAGGATTTCCGCGGAACTCCGCGGCCCAGCCCGGACGCCGTAGTTCAGTTCAGCCGGGAGCTTGCGCACCAAAGCTTGACCCTTCCACGACCCGGGTGTGAGGCGGCGGCGACAGGCACCCCCGACCCTGAAACGAAAGCTGTAGTAAACAACGCCTACAAGTTTTTGAGATCCACTTCTAGCCGCAGCTGAGCACTCGCGACCTTGAGATCTTCCTGTTCCCAGAGTTGAAACCGGAAGAAATTTCAGGGATCAACTCCCGCACTGGGCAAATGACTAGTTCAAGGTCACACACAGAGCTAGTTACCTTCAATGAACGTGTTCTGATCCCACGGTCCAGTGCACTTTCGGCAGCTTTATCACTTGAAAAATAAGACCGATAGGTACTTGGAGGAGGGGAGTTTTGAAAAACCACACTCTGGGGGCTGGAGCTGGGGTTCAGTGGTAGAGCGCTCACCTAGCATGCACGAAGCACTGGGTTCGAGCCTCAGCACCACATAAATATAAATTTTTTTTTTTTTTTTTAAAAGAAAGCAAGCCACACTCCTTATTTGCTCGCTACCGAGCTTCACACACAGGGGGCGCTCGACACCTACTATGGTTTGAGACCTGAGGAAAGGGAGGGCTAGGGGCCCTGGGTGGGGGCGTGGGGGAGTAGTCTTAAGCCACAAAGCTTGTAGAAAAGCGT